ACTTTGTTTCATTGTTGGATTTTACCTTGGTATTCTGAATATGTGTAATCTAACATGGGGTTATCAAAGATGTGTGATATTATTAGTATTTCGAAATCCGGCAGATTTACTAATGAGTTTATGCATTAGATTACTATGACATTACCTTACTTACCAGATTAGATATTTGCACCCCCGCACACACATATGAATATGTTGTTTTCAGGTCATTATTTCACTATCAAAACCTTTATGTAGATGGAGTTCGTTGCGGTATGTATCCTAAAGTTCAGTAAAATCTTGTTAAACTATTAGAAAACTGTGTGAAATATAGTGAAGATATAGTAAACCTAAACAATACATCGAATACATTTCCGAGTTTTCCTTTATTCTTACTGTGAAAAGAGTGCTCCTCACCGAAACATTACGTTACATATAAAACGTAAAGACTGTGTTATATTTTACTCCCTATATTCGCTAATGATGTGTTTTCCAGACATTACTAGTATGAATATGCTCATTAAGGTTAGTGGTGCAACATACATTGCGGAGATGAGGTTTGATATTACATTATAACGAATAAAAAAGCTTGCACTGTCATGAATGGTTCAGTACATCTCAACTTAATGACTAAATGTCATGAATAAATCAGGAAAGTGTATATTATGTGAAACTGGAATATTTGTTACCATTATTTTCTTTTCTTAGATCTATCAATTATTATCAATTATTAGATCTATTCCACGTTCAATTAGAATGTCATGCACAGTGAAATTGCAACTAACATTTGTGCAAACTATTTTGTTTCAAACCGTTATTTCGTTTGCAATGAACACACGTTATTGATGCAATGCCGGATATGTGTATGGCGCTGGGGAATTCCTGCCCGCATTAGGTAATGACAATATTGTCAGTAAAATGGCGAAAGGCTGCATTTTAGCGTGACCGTCCAAGAATAATCGGGTGAATGGGCTTTATTTTGAATAATTAGGCCTAAATAGTTACTTTGGTGAGTATTTAATAAATGTGCAATCTATCGACCTTGCATTTGGTTGGGATTCGTGTTTCACAGAACATTCCATGATTGTTAATCGTTTATTTGCACAATGGTTTTATTGCGGCGTCAACGTGGACAGTATTTTATGGCTGTCACAATAGCTTTACTGGTTGACAATATCATACAAATGTCATGTACGTTTATTATATACCATCAGATTGACACAATGAGAGCTATGGACCCACAGCTACAACCAAACATACAATTATGACATGAAAATGATCAGAGGATCCAATATTTTTCCAAGAGGGGAGTTCAGACCCCCAAGATCCACGAGTGATATTAAGCACTGCGATGATTTGGTTTGTATAAGGACAAGTTTGTGGTTCTTTGGTGATTTCAGGAGTTAATAGCTGCAGTTTAGTCATTTTGGTTAGTTAGCTTTGCACACAATTGAACAGTGTATGTTTGTTTCATGTTTTAATTTTCCTTTAGAGTGGGGCAGTGCAAATAAAAGGAAATCTAAGATGTTTTAATTATTATTATTATTAGAAATAGGCAGATAAATGATTTTCAATACAGTTGTTTTTTATACTTATTTGTTCACACAATATTCATTAATGTCAACATATATTTTTAGGTGATTCATAGTATGAATTGTATAATTTTACAAGTTACACAATGTTCAATAAACAGGTGACTGTAAATAAATAGTCAAATGAGTATGAGAAAACTTTATGATGTCAATGCATGCAGAGAAGAAATTACGTCAAGAACTAAAAATACTACATAAGAGGCACACAGGTATAGTAATCTGTCAATGTCAAGAAATATCAAAATGTCAATTCAGATTCATTAGCAATTGGGGTGTAATAAACCCATATTCCCAATATAGACACGATTCTATATTTTGTGTGGTCAGATAGAGTACAACCCATAGACTTACATTGTACTTCCACTGTAGTTGTTCCTGTCTCAGTTTGTGTACCAGTAAATAATTGGTTTTTAGCCTTGCAGACATATCTACCACTCTCATCTTTATCTATGTTGGATATTCTCAGTTGATAACTAGAAGATATCTCTGTATTACCTTTCCACCATGTTATACTAGAAGTGGGTGGATTCGAATCTACTGTACAGTCTATGGATAATGTTTCACCTTCTGTCACATGCTTTAATGAAGGAATAGTTACTTCAGGAGCATCTGTAAATATGAAACACCACAAATCATGAATGACAGGGATCTCATTGATTAGAATAAATTAATAATTAAAACAAGTCATTGAAAAG